AATGAATTATATAAAGATTGAATTGCAGAGGTGCTGAATAAAGAAATAAGAAGGAAATAAAGAAAAAAATTCACATATATTCTAGAGAAAAAAAATATAAGCCTTTGGATGAAAATAATAGAGAAGATATATTCTTTTTTCCTTTCCTTTCTTTTAAATTTTGAATGATGCTCTTCATGTTTTTCTGTCATGAATTATTTAGAATTTGCACTTCACTTTCCATGGCTTTAGTTCATCCGTGAAATAGAGTTTGTTTTTTGTGCTTCTAACCAAGCAGTGTGTTTATATATGTATACCAACACTTTTGCAAAAATATTTATTATATTTTTAACACAGGCTACATTTACCTTCGCCATATGTTAAGTCAATTATTACCTGTTAACAAAATTGTCAGATATTCTTCTCCATTGTACAATTAATCATAATTTATATTACATAAATTATTATTTAATGTGAATTTATTATCCTCCACTTATTTTAATGGAGACAAAAATTATATTTCTTTATTTATTCAATTCAAAACAACTTAAGAAACTAAGAAATTTCCAAAAGTTTTACTGAGCAATAAAAAAATTATTAAATAAAAATGATTTTTTTATTATTCATTTATTTATTTGAATTATATTATTATTATATATTAACATTATTTTATCATTATTATTATTATTTTTTTCGATTTAATATTTGACTATTTTTTACTATTATCATCTAATAAAATAAATATATTTTTTGATTTTTTTACTGTCTTTACAATTTTTTAGATTTGATTATCATTTCGATTTTTTGTGATTATTTTCATTAAAATTCTCTATTATTTTTACTACTTTTTTATTATAATTCTCTGTTATTTGGCATTAAAAAAAAATGTCAATATATGAAATTTGAGAGAAACTTGTAAACATAAGATTTAACAGAAAAAACAGAAAAGAAAATAATAGTAATAAGAGGCAAAAGTGAGGGATTATAAATTCAACAGTGAAAAATAAATAATTTATTGCGTGAGGTGTTTCACGAGGTGTAAGTGAATAAATAATTTTAATCGCTGTTTGCGTGATAGTTTTTTTTTCTTCATATTAAATCCAGAAATAATAGGTTCTCAATTGAAAGTTCCAATCGATACGCAGGAAAGAAAAACGTTTTTTTTTTATAACTGCCAATATTATTTCACCATTTCATCATAAAAGAAATTTAATAACTTTTTACAACATTAAAAATAGGTATATTTCATAACGAAAATAATTTCAGCAAATTTACTAAAATGAAAATAATTATTTCATTTGTTCTCAAAATATCAAGTATTTTTTCTTTTTAAATAAACATTTATTTTTGATAAATTTTCAAATAAAACAAAAAGAATGAAAATACAAGAAAAATAAATATAAGAAATAAATAAATTATAAATTTCGAAACTACAAGAAATTAAGAGAAAAAAGTCAATCACAATAATTAAGTATCAGTTTTTATCTTTATTTTCCAACTGAGTTGAAATTTAATTCCACAGTTAATTGAAGCATTGTCACTTATTTTTATTTATAGAAAGGCATTGATGTTAATTATATTTCAAACTGCAATTATATTAAAAAAAAAGAAAAACATTAATAAGCATATTTTGCTGTTCATAAAATGCCGATATTAAATTAAACAATTTTTTTCTGTTTTATGACGCACTTAATTTGATGATAAAAAAAAATATTCGAAAAAAGAATATATTATATGTCAATTAAAAATTATCAGCGATAATTATTTCATATTAAATAGATGATTTTAATTACCATTTTTAGGGAGGCTATAAATTTTTCAATGGAATTGTTATTTTATAATATGGAATTGATAAGGAAAAATGAATAAATCAGTGTATTGAGAATAAATTAATATATTTATAATGGATATACGGTAGGTACTGTTTTGAATCTCAATTTTTATGGCGTTCTATCTCTTCTTTTGCGCTTGTTAAGTCATAATTATTTTCTCTTACAAGTCATTTTTTGTTTTTGCCTACCTACACACTCATATTTACACACTTTTTTTGGGGCACAATAACCCTATATTGCTGGTTTCAATTTTTTTTTTAATTCATTTTTTTCTTTTAAATTATAATATTCGCAAATCGTCGAACATTAGACTTTTTTTCCGTAAAACACTACGTCAATTAAATTACTGCGTCGAACTATTTACAATAAATACACATTTTTTTCGATAAATTCAAATTCCGTACATGGCAAGTCCCTCTTAATTATAATGATCATGATAATAATAATAAATTAACGACGCGACAATAGATATATGGGAAAAAAAACAATTTTTTCTTTTCTTTTTATTAAGAGGGACTGACCGCGACGTTGCACGATGTTTTTTCTTTTTCGTTTATTGCACATTTGCCTCTCGATTGGGAATGTAAATGGTTTTGTAGCTAGAAAAAAGATATGTGGAGAGGATATAAGTTTAGCGTTACCTAAAATATTTTTGCTTTAGTAAATCGTTTATCTTTTGTAGGAAATTTTTTATTATTTTTAATTATTACTTGAAATTTAATTAAAACTATTTTTACAATTTCCCTTCTTTCTTTTTAGTCCTTTTTACAGTGTTAGAGTGTTTTCGATTTAAAATTTCAATTATTTCCACTTTATTATTTATCCTTTGAAATTTTTTCGTATTTTATTTTTCTTTTCCAATTTTCATTTTCTTTTTTCAAATAATTTCCTTTTTTTTAAATAATATTTCAGTCGATTAATTATTGTACATTCTCTTTAATGTTTATTTACTGAAAAAAGTACAATTACTGAAACTAAAATAAAATCATTTCGAAATTAATTTTTAACTTGAAATTCTAAATTCAAAGCAAATTTCCGATTAACAAAAAATACTGTTTACATTTTCATACAAATTTTCGAGGAAAAACTTAATTAGGATTTTACTTAATTAGAACAAACTTAATTAAATTCATTCAAAGTTTAAATATTACATATAAATAGTATTGATTTTCATGAATTAAAAATCCAAGCAATATTATATTTTCAATTGAAATTATTTATAATAATTCTAATTAAAACTGTAAATTATCAATAAATATCAATTATTATCAATAAACATTAATATTTTCAATAAGTTTCACATAAATAATAAAAATATTATTATATTCAATTTATATAACTAAATTATTTACAAAATGAATATAGAAAAATAAAAAATAAATATCTATCAAAAAGAGAGAAATGAAAATTATATTTTTTCATCGAAAATTAACTTTTAACTGGTTTAATGGAAATTATGAGAAAAAAATCTTAATCAACTCTTCATCTCGATCGATTAAATTAATTTCAGAAAATTTATTTCCCGAGTAAACGAGTTTTAGCTAAATTAAATTTCTAATTATGTCAAAGGATTTATTCTCCTGGGAAATTTCATTTTCAATCAGAAACTTAAATGCGTCTCTAATTAAAACTTTAAATAATAATTAAGGACCTAATTAAATCAATTTATTGGTTTTGAAAGACAAGGTGTTGTATTCTTTTTAAAGCAATACAATATTTTGTGAAACGATATTTTATTACTTTGGTTATTAACGTATTTATTATAAAAAGAAATCGATTTTGAAATAGTTATAAAGAAAATCTTTCCTAAATGAAAGGACAATAAAATTTAGTCCTTAATTATCATTTTTTATATTTAAATTTTAAATTTATTTTAATTAAATTAGAAATTTATTTTTTGAATTCATTATTAGTTTTGATTATTTTTCTTTATTTTCGATGAATTAGTTTAAAAATTTGTATTTTTAATCAACATTCACGAATTTTGATTAATTTATTATTGAATGATTAAATTTTGATCATTTATTGTTTAGTAATAAAAATTTAAACATTTAGAAATGATTATTGACTTCTGCATAATTTTTAAAAATAGAAATTTTTAATTATTCTTACGATTTTGGTTTTCCGATGAACTTAAAATGAATAATTGAATTTTCATTAATTAACAGGTTAAAATATTTTCTCTACGGACAAATTTTTACGATAATCACTAAATAATTAATGTTCGTCTTTATAAGTCCTTAAATTTGAAAATATTAACATTTCTAAAAAATTCAATTTTCCATTTTCTTTCTCGATTTCTGATTTTCAATTAATTTAATTATTAGAATTTATTATTTATTTTTGGACTTTTCAATTATTTTCCATTATTTTAATAAAATAATTGAATTTTCATCATTCAGTGTATTAATTATTGTTTAATCAAAATTTAACGATCACTCAATATTTTGTATTGATTATCAAGTTTTTAATCAAAAAAATGTTGATATTTTTTAAATTTCCATTTTTTATTTACATTAACGATTTTTATTTCTTTTTGTGATTTTCATGTGAAGTTAAAATTGAATAAAAATTTTTTGACTGAACAGTATTGATAATTAATTATTTAGTTTTGATCATAAACAAAATTTAACAGTAATCACCAAATATTTAGTGCTGCTCATCAAGTTTAAAATTTAATATATTTTTAATATTTACTAATTAAACTATTTTTTGAATTAATTATTTAATTAAAAATATTCATTCAAAATTTTACAATGATAACTAAATATTAAGTGTTTTCTGTGAAGTTTCTAATTTTTTTCCTAATGTTACAATTCTCAACATTCAATTTTTTCACAAATTTCCCAATTAATTTAAAGCTGAATATTTGAATTTTAATCATTTAGAATAATTATCATTCTTTATTGAATTGTTTTTTAATCAAAATTTAACGAATGAAATTTAACAATGATTGCTAAATATTTAGATTAAATTTGCTCCTTAATTCTTTAATTTGAAAAAATTTAACATTTTCCAATTTCAAATTCTTTTTCACTTTCCGATTAATTCAAAACTGAATAATTTAATTTTTAATTTTTAATCATTCAATATTTCGCTGAAAAAAATTTTAATTCCGTTTTCTGAAAAAAATAAATCTAGGTAATTGTTCAGATTTTGTAATTAATTATTTATCACTTCACTAAAAAAAATCAAATTCGTAAATTAACTCGAAATTCTGTTATTTGGAAAAAGAAATTTGATTTTTTAATTTTTATTGTCGATTAAATTCGCTAAATATTTTTCTTCGATAAATAAATTCAAATTCCATTTTCCGAAAAAATAAATCCGATGATTCAAAATTTACAGTTGATCATTAAACACTTTGCTGAATAAATTCGAATTCCGCTTTCCGAAAATATAAATTTTATTCTCCAATTTTTATTGTTGATCATTCAATATTTCACTAAATAAATTCAAATTTTATTTTTCGAAAAAATAAATCCACTAGTTTAAAATTATAGTTGATCATTAAATACTTCACTGAATAAATTCGAATTCCGTTTTCCGAAAACAAAAATTTTATTGCTGATCATTAAATATTTCGCTAAATAAATTCGAATTCCGTTTTCCGAAAACAAAAATTTTATTTATGATGTTGAATTTATCACTCGGTTAAAATTGTTTAGTTGAGAGATGAGATATTATCGGTAAATGTTAATTGTATTTTTTTATGTATAAACAAATTTTTAATTTTTTTATAATAAATTTTAGTTTTTGAAGAGGACGACTGTGTCGTCGAAACGCAAAACAGATGTTTTTTTGATTTGGATAGATTGATAATATTTTATCTTTCAACTAAAAAATTTTATTGTTGATCATTAAACACTTTGCTGAATAAATTCAAATTTCGTTTTTTGAAAAGACAAATCCGATTTTAATTTTTAATGTTTATCATTCAATACTTGGCAAAATAAATCAAAATTCTGTTCTCCAAAAAAGGAAATCAAATTGTTTAACGTTTATTCAACACTTGGCCAAAAAAATCTATCCAAAAATCGAATTTTATTAAAAATCCAAAAGAAAAAACGTGATATACACTAAAGCAAAAGAAAAATTGGTAACGCTAGTTTTCCTTAAACCCTTGGAGAAGACTACGTGGTTGAGGGTGAAGTCGGTAAGGAAATGGGGGATGTGATGGAAGTGGGAGTCGTTGATTCTCTGCCATTGGAGAGAGTGGGTGTCGATGACCTGTCTTGTTTGACGATAATCGGCGTACTGGACCGATTATTGCCAAGGAGGCTGTCTATCGAGAATGGATTCAGTCTCTTTCTTTCCTCCCTACCTTTCACAGACAAATCAATACTGCTGCTCTGCACCTCGTCGTCATGCAAAACACGATCATTTTGCTGTGAAATCAGTCTATGATGATGATGATGATGATGATGATGATTATTATTATTATTATTCGATGATGTTCTCAATGCCGAATTACTCAAACTAACAAGTTCACGTCTTCGTTCCAACAGACTCAAACCCCAATGATTTATTCCCTGTTGATGATTCATATCTAAATTAATATGAAAACCCGAATTTGCATTTTGCAAATGATTATTCGATGAGTTTGGTGATTTTTGATCAATTAAACGGGGATAACATTCGCCGTCAATTGAACCGTCGGCGGTTGAATCAACACGTTCGCTGTCACTGTCACTGCATGAATCGAGACCGCCAACGACATCAATTTCTTCGTTTGCATCGTTGCCCGAACCGGAAATACTGCTGCCCTCATTATTGTTACTCAAATGACCGAATGAACCTAAGGAATTGCCACTTGATGCTGCGGCGCTTCGTTGTTCCCATTCGGCTCGCAATGTCGAGAGGTCAACGGAGATTCCCTGTAAAAATACAAAATCAAACGAAAAAACGTTAGATTTATTAAATCGATTCGTACTCATTTTTATGAGAGGGGAAAATAAATTGATAGTTCAAGAGATGATAGAAATCAGTACGTGTGTGTGTGTGTATGTGTGCGGCGCACATCTTTTCTTTACTCTCTGATGGCTAATTAACTCACTAATTGAACAGTCATTGAAATTACAATCAAGATCTGCAACACGCATCCTCCCGTCAAGTTGAAATGTTTAACTGATTCTTTTCTCCTTTAAATTATTCCATTTTTTTCACTTAATTGTATAATTAAACTCATTAAAAAAAACAATTTTGATTTATTTTCTATATCCAAGAAACCTTTTTATCAAAAACTTACTTGATACCTTATATCACATTTTCCTTTAGGTCTTAATAAATTTTCAAAAAAATATAATTAACACTTTAATTTTTATTCAAGTCACGCGATTTTTATTTCAAGAAATAATTTTCTTTCAAGAAGGAAAATACTCTTGGTAACTGTAATTCAGGCCTCTGATCGACTTTAACGCGCACAAAAAACCGTTTTAGTCGATTTTATTCTGGATTCTTGAAAAAATTTGATTTTTTATTCCTCTCACTTTTCCCTGATTGACAAAAAATTTTTTTTCTCTCTAGTTCCTAATTTTTTTTCTCTAATTCTTGTAAAATTCAATTATTTTTAAATACTTTTTTATATTTATTTATTTATTATAAAAACACAATCAATTTAAAAAAAATTTTAAAAATCGTTTTAAAAATAAATTTTATTTCAAAAACAATTTTATAAAATATTCCAATCGTTTATTTTAATTACTTAAAATTCAAATTTCGGAAAATTTCAATTCTTTAATTGTTTAATAAGTAAAGTCAATTTATTAATTTTGGGAATTAAATTATATGCAAGAAATTTTAACTAAAATTTTTCATAAACCTATTTTCTTAGAACTTATAAATTTAGTTAATATTAGTTTATTTTAAATAATTATATTTAAATATATTATATTTTTTGTTGTTTATTTTTCCCCAAGAATTGAAAATTTTTAAAAATTGTAATTTCAAAACTTCTTAAATTTAATTAGATAATTTCTTAAAATTACAACTGTAATTCTTGTAAAATTGAATTATTCTTTAGAATTTCAGACTAAAGTTATTTATAAAGTATATTTTTTTAAAATAAATATTTAAATATTATTAAACTACTACATCTATTGAAATTTTCGAAAACATCATTTGAAACCGATTCTGAAATTTAATTAGTTCTAAAAATTCGAGTCATATAGCTTCTTCAAAATTTAATTATTTTCCAGACATTTTAAAAAGAAATCTTTAATCAATTATTTTTAATATTTTTGTGAAAATTTCCAAGAACTCAATTATTACAAAAAATTCAAAATGTATCTAAAATTCAATTGATTTTAATTAGTTTTTTCAAAATTTCAACTATTGGAAAATTTAATAAAAAACACTTTTCTGAATTTTCAATAAAATTATTAAAAATTCAAATTTTCGAAAATATAAATTTTAATTTTCTCGAAATTCAATTGTTTTTAAAAATTTCTACTAATAACTCTTACAATATTCTATTGTTTTTTTGTAACTCTTCATAATTTTTTTTGAACTGATAAATTTTTGAAAATGCGTAACTGAAAATATTTATTTATTTATTGAAATTACACGGGCTAATATTAATAAATAATTGATTTTCAAAACATTATATTAAACAAATTTTAAAAATTAGTTTTCTAAAAATATTTTCAAATAATTTCTGAAAAATAATAGAATTTCCAAAAAATTAAAATTTGCTAAAATTATTTGAAAATAATTTAAAATTTGTAAAGAACATATAACACAATTGAAAAAAGTAATTAATTATTTGATAAATTTTTTATTAGAATTTTAGAAATTCAAACATTGTTAAAAAAATTTGAAGTTGAAACATTTCGAAATTTGATTTTCAAAAATTATGACAAAGAAATTATCTTATTTTTTAAAAAATATTGTAATGTAATTTTACTCAAAAATTTTAATAATAATTCTAAAAAATTGGATTTCTTTAAAAATTTTAATGTAACTATTTTTTTGTAGATATTTAAATTTTCGGAAATCTAGAATTAAAAATATTGATAATAATTTAGTTTCAGAAAATTATAAAGAAAAAGTTCTAAGAATTTCATTTTAAAAAATATTTTAATATCATTTCTTGTAGCTAATGTTCATTAATTTTTAATTAAAAATTTTTATTTGAAAACTTATCGTTAAAACTTTTGAAAATTTAATTATTTTCAAAATTTGTAATTAAAATTTTCTGAAACTTAATTTTATTAACTTTTAACGAAATATTTAAATAAATAGTCAATTATTTTCACCAAAATTTTACAAAATTTCAATTATTTAATAATTTTTTAATTATATATTTCAAAAATTTAATAATCTTATAAAATTTATTCAAAAATATGTTTGGAAAAATTTGACTATAAATAATTATTTTTCACACTATAAAAATCGAAATAAATTGGAAATTTTTAATATAAAAGTGATATTTTTTTTGCAATATTTGGAAGTTGCATTTTTTGAAAATAAGTGGTAGAAAGTCGCCTTTTTTGAAAATAGTAAAAAAAAAGCCAAAAAAATCACACTATGCGAAGCCTGCTAATTGAATAAGAAAGTTAAAAAAAAAACAGAACGCAATGAAAATTAAAATTCAATTTATTTTGTATTACTTGAAATGTGTCACTTTCTAATTCGTAATAATATGTAATTTAAGAAGGAAATCAGACAGAGATAATTAATAATTTACATAGTTAAATTAATTATTATTTATCTGTAAATGCAATAGTTTGCCTGGGAGATAAATGTTAGTTCTCGATACATAATAATTTATCGTTTAAACGCGTATGTGACAGACGTGTCTAAATCCTTGTCTCGTGTGTGCTACTGCATATTTGCCAAGCGCGAATGAAAAAAAAAACATTTTACATGATTAAAGGAATTAAGAATAACGTTTCATTATACTATCCTGTGGAAGTATTTTCTCTCACTGTGAATATATACCCAACATACACGTATATACATATATTTTGCATACTTTATGTTTGCGGGCTGGCAAAATCCAATTGTGTGGCGAGAGTCACGTGGTTCACGAAATTTATGATTACGCGAAAATATATTGCAATTATACCAGGAGCAATTGTAATACACGCGAGAGTGTTGCAAATTTCAACTTGACGGTGATAAACACACGCATGAAAGTTACGTTTAAAAAATCAACTGACAGATTTTCAAAAATAAAAATAAACACAGTAATATCGTTTTTCATTTTCAAAATTGAACATAAATGAAAATATTTTTGTTTTATCGTTGAAAGAATAAATTGTAAAATTTTTTTTTTTCGAAAAATAATTTGATTCTTTTGAAACAAATGGATTAAATAAATATAAGCGAATAACTTAAATAAATAAATACTTAAATAAATTATAAACAAATTATTAAATAATGCTAAATAAGTTAAATAAATAATAATAAACAAATTATTGAATACTGATAATTTAAATAAATAATAATGAACAAATTTTTTAATAATTGGAATTAATTAATTAATTAATTAATTAATTACTTAATTAATTAAATAAGAATGAACAAATTATTAAATAATGATAAATAAATTGAATAAATAATAATAAACAAATTATTACATAATTAAAATTAAGTTAATCAAATAATAATAAACAAATTATAAATAAAAAAGCAATTCACAGTGTCCAGTGTTTCTTTAAAATTTACTTTTATCAATTAATATTATTTTACTAATAAAAGAAATGATAAATTCAATTTACCTTAGCGGCTAATTTTCGTTGTTGTCTTTCGAGGGCTTTTAGGATTTTTTTCTGTCGCCTTTCGCGTTCTTTTCTCCTTAATTCTTCCGGGGGAATTGGTTCGCCACTACAACTTTGTGGATGCGCATTGTGCGCAGGTCTTCCGGGTCCTTTTTTTGTATGCTCCTTTTTCCTCCACTTCGCTCTGCGGTTTTGAAACCACACCTGTAATCAAAATAATACACGATAAATTAAACTCCAAAACAAGGCAAAACAAAAACAATGCAAATATTTTCAAAAGTAATAATTCTCATCAATTAATTAAAAACAGAAAAAATTTACTTTATAATTTTTTTTTTTTACTTTAAATTTAACATTATCTGATTGTTTATTTAAATCATTTATTAATGTTTAAATAATTTTTTTTCCAAAATTAATAAATTCTATTTTTAAAAACGTATAAAAATATTTATTAAATTAATTAAAAACAGTTTTTCAATTTTATATTCCATTCCAATTTTTCCGCGATATCAAAATATTTTATTAACAACAATTGTAAAAATTGATAAACTTTTTTAATTTCTTGCGTAATTGATAAAAACTGTTGAGAGCAGCAGAATGCGAGCGAATATATTTATTTTAACAACTACTAATTGCAAAGAGCAATTGAAACAAGTTTTCCTTCGAAAACACGTTCTAATGAAACATTTTATCGCGAATCAATTTCCATGTTTATGTCTCTTAAAGTTAAAATGTTCTAATCATTGCAAATCATCATCAAATGTTTACATATATAAATTTAAATAAAAGAAAAAAAATTCCACCAGCTGCTATACTTTCCTTTATAAATGCGGAGAAAACGGAAAATTTTTCGATATAAATAAAACAATTATTCAATCAGAATAAAACAAATCACTTAAAACATAATTATTTTGAAACATACAAACATAACTATATATACACCACAATTACCATATATAAATTCGCTTTACTAAATTGGGACAACGAAATATTCAATTTATTTTTAAAGTGCGTCATTAATTAAAACTGGTGCTATAAATATTGAAAATAATTGTTCGAAACTATCGTTGAATATAAAAAGAAACTAAACTAAACTCAACTACCATAAATTCGAAATACAACTACCATAAATTCTAACAATATCTTATTATCACACTATCTTTTAATTAAAACAATTCACATAATTCACTGAGATTGTTAATTTTAATTAAAAATTTGAAATAGAATTATTAAATTGTCAATTTTCAAATAGAATATCAGAATTGTAATTAAAAAAATTGTCGCAATTAAAAACGGTAAATATAATAATGAAATTATAAATTGCAATTAAAAATGAAAAAAATATAATTATATAAGGATCACAGTAAAAAAATAAATGTTAACGTACAGTGAAACCTGTCGAATGGAACTCGATTTTTAAAATTTTATTACAGTAAACAAACCTTAAAAAATAGTTTTATAATTTAGTTGTGTAATAATTTTACAATATTCTGAAACTAAGTGAAAATAATTCTTGTTGGATATTTTGGAATTCGGAAAAATTTTTAAAATAGAAATACAGATGCATTCCGACAGGTTTGACTGTATAATTTTATTAAAAAGATTTTTTAGTCTTTTTTTACTCTTTTTCTTAATTGCATCTTTTTTAAATCAAATTCTTTGTACAATTTTTTCTGTTAATTGTTGATATTTATTTTATTTTTCCGTGGTTTGCAATTTTTTAAAAAATTTTTTCCATGATCTGCAATTTTTTTACCACTTTCCGTGGTCTGCAATTTTTCTAAATTTTGAATCAAAATTTTTCTTAGAACTTTCCTTTTATTTGAAAATTCCATGAACTTTACTGCGGATTTAGTAAAATTTGCTCCAAACAGGGGACCGATTATGTAATTTGAATTTTATTTCGACTTTCACTTTCATTTTTACTTTGATTTTACTGTTACTTTAATAGATTTTTATTTTTACTTTTATTTTGCACTTTGTTAAATATTTATTTTCACTTTCACTTTGATAAAAAGTGAAAAATAAAAATCTTTCAAAGTGAAAGTGTAAAAATATTTAACAAAGTGCAAAATAAAAGTAACAATGAATAGGAAAATAATAATGTGTTATTATAATAAAAATAAATAAAAATCCATTAAAGTGAAAATGAAAATAAAAATGAAAGTACAAATAAAAATTTATAAAAGTGAAAATGAATGTGAAAGCAGAAATCTGTCAAAATGAAAGTGAAATTAAAAATCTTTTAAAACAAAAGTGAAAATGCAATTCAGAAATAAAATGACAAAATTGACCCACAATTTGGATTTTATTTAATAAAAGCTAGAAAAAAATTTTGATCAGTCTATTTTTAATTAGTAAAATAATGTAAAAAAATTTGTAATTCTGTTGATCATAGAATTTATTTGCATAAATTATTTTAGTTTCAAAAAATTATCATTTTTCTAACCTTTGCAAAAAATTAAAAATTTTTTTTTAAAACATAACTTACAAAAAAAAAAATTACAATTTTCTTAAGATTTCCTTTTTAAAAGAGAAAAAAAAATTCATGATTTTAGGTGTTTTCATTAATTCAAGAAAATAAAAAGGAAATAAAAAGGAAATAAAAAGAAAAAAATGGCAATCAGGTAAAAAAGGGAACTAACTGTGATTCCTGTAATTATAACATTGTTAATTAAAGCAGAAATTGCAGACTAAAGAAAGAAATTATGTTAAATATAATGAAAATAATACCTTCTCATGTGATAAAAAAAAATTATATAATTTAAAAAAATTGTTAAATATAATGAAAAAAATTTTTATAATTGAAATTTGTAAATATAACGAAAAAAAATTGTATAATTGAAATTGTGATAATTATCATTAAATTGAGAATGTATGTGAAATGAAAAAAAAGGGAAAAACTTAATTTACAAACGATCGATAGTTGAGTTAATTGAAACAGCACTATTAGACCGCATATAAAATGAACGCATCAGAATTATAAATAAGTAATTAATATTAAAATAACGAGAAGTTATCGAGATATGAATCGACAAGGTGCAGGGGTGTTAAAGTGACACTCGTGCACAAAGGGAAATCGTGTCACACTGCGCTTTTGATAAGAGTGTGGCATTATAAAGTCGACAATTCAAGAAAAAGAGGTCTGAGAGAATGAAGACATTAGTTACAAAGGGTAACCGCGGCCGGTAAATGGCGCTGGTCTCACGCGAGCACGAGATCAATAGCCCTCTTTTGCAACCCTCTAAAACACCCTGGCCAAGTCACGTCACTTGCCCTTATGACTTCTTCTTCTTCTCTTTTTCTTCCTTCTTCTATTTTTTATCCTTTCTCTTTTTCTCCTTTTTTCTTTCTCTCCTCTTTCTTTTCTCTGCTTTTTCGTTTTTTCCTCCTTTTTCTTCCTTCTTCTTGTTCATCTTTTTCTTCCTCTTCTTCGTCTTCATCACTCTAAGGTTGGTAGCCCAGACTAAAAGCTCCAATGTTGCAAAGCACACTTATAAACAGCTAACTCTCACGCAAACGACCCCCCCCCCCCCTCTCTCTCTCTCTCTACATCGAAAACAACCCTTCGTCAACCCACTCTCGCCACATTCACTCTGCTAATGAGAAAACCTTGCAATCCTAATTAACTGCTAAACTAACAAGCGACATTTTAGTAACACTTAAAACGACCATCTTCTCGCGCGACATTTTAGTCGTTTCTGATTAACATTCCACTCTCGTCGAGCGTTTAACTTTCTCTGCAAAAATTACTCGAACTCATAAATTTACCTTAATGATAAAACTAGTTCGAAATTTTAATTTTTCATTATTAGTATATTTTAAAATTGAAAATCGATTTCTACATAATTGATGAACAAATTTATATTCAATTGGATTAAATAAATTTTATAAAATAATTAAAATTGATGTTTTTCTAACTGTGCGATCTTTCCAAAATTTAAGATTATATTGTTTTGCGTTAAAAAGGTCGTTTTCGAGTAATTCCTAAACGAGTCGCGTCTATAAATCTGTGAAATGGCAATTTTTGATCAATTCATACACAAAGTAATAAAAATGTTGATAAGAAACTTGCTTGATAAAAAAAAAAAAACTTCACTATTTTTAAACATATAGTTAATTACAGAAAAAAAAAATTCATCGTGCTTACAAATTGTCCCGCAGCTTTCGTAATTTTCTTGCCAATTAAATTTAAGCACTGAATTTCTATCTTAATTCATAATCATCAAATGACCGTCATTTAGATACTTAATTGTGAATAACAACCCTGACAAATGATGGAAATAAATTTCGAAACATAATAAACATATATAAAACAAAAAAATAAAATATAAAACATGAACTTTAAAATAATACGGATCATCAATTTTTAAATAATATAGAAAATAAAAATAGTCATCTTTCTTTAAAAAAAAAAAACAATATAATTCTAATTTTGGAAAGGTCAGTTAAAAAAAACGTTTTGTCCATAAACCCTAGAATTAAAAATTGTAAAAAAAAATCGAAAATAAAAATGTATGATCGGAACATAAATAAAAATATACAGTAAAAATTTACAATATAGAAATATAATTTAAGAATGTAAAAAAAAGAGAAAATAAAATGTAAAATAAAAAATGTGAAGTAGAAATATGAAACAAAGTATGAAAAAAATAAGTATTAAATAAAAATTTTTAATATAAAATTTGTAAATATGTTTTTATTTAAATAATTAAATTATCGTAGTTGAATTCTGATAAGAATTGATTTTAAAAAGGAAATTTAGTTAAAACTTTAGAAAATAATTAGAAGTGTTAAAGTTGGATTCTTTAGAAACAATTAAATTTCAAAAAGGTTTTCAATTGAAATCTTTGAAATTCTAATTATTGTAAAAGTATAATACCTAATATTTAAAAATAAAAAAATTATTAATTTGTTAGCTTCCTTGAAAATTCAAAGTTTTTCATAATATTATTCAAAAATTCTAAAAAATAATTGAATTTTAGAAGACTTTGGTACAGTTCAAATTTCCATAAAAAATTTTTAAAATGATTTTACATTGAAAGTATTTTGAAATTTTAAGCAAATAAAAAGCAATAAGTAATTAAATATTTATTTTACAAAAATTATTGAAATTTGAAAGATTTAATTCGGAAAAATCTGAAAAAATAAGGTTTTTGAAAACTAGTATTTAATTAAAATTTTTTGAAGATATATTTGAAGAT